CTGCTGCTTCCCTAACTCTGCATGCTCATCCTTAAATTCTTCTTTTTTCACTTTCAATTAAAACTATTCCTATGAGGGTCATCTACAGAAGAACATTCTGGAAGTTTTGAACTTTCACTACAAATCTAATGATTCCTTAGGTGTCTGTTGAGCTTTAGGATTTTCAAAGGTTAGCATTTCTATGATCTACTTTCATGCTCAGAATACCTATACAATGAATAGAGCAGAGTAGTTATATTGTGAATTTACAGCGAGGAAACAGAGTCACTGAGACATTTATGGCAGATTGGGCACAAGAACCCAAGACTTCTAATTCCCAGCCTGATGTTCTTACTACTCCACCACATTCCCCACAGGAAGGCAGGCACATTAAGGAGGACTGACAAATGATGCTGATATTTAATAGAATAACCACCACCAAAACGTCCTCTTTTATAATCATTCATCATAGTATCAGAAGTATTAGCAGTTGTTGTCATTGTCACTGTACAGTTTACAAAACCCTGCCAACACATTACTCATAAACTCAAAGTGAATTCTCAGAGGTGTTCAAGGTTTGTTCTCTCAGAACTACTTTCCCTGTTCTGATGATCTCAACTTAGGAACCCTGCTCCAGGTTGTGTGGTCTCTGAGTCAACTGAAGTTCTAGCTGATGAGGCAGCAAGAGGTGACCCCTGTGGGTGGTGATGTCATCATAAAGAGACTCCTCTTCCAGAGAATGCTTGAGAAGCTTTTCTCAAACTCCCTGTCAGGATCAACCTCCTCCTCTACCTGGTGAGGGCCCAGTGCTTATATTCTGGGGTGGCAGACATGCTGTTCTGCTCCACACAGATGCACCTCCCCAGGGAGAATGTAAGCCCTGTGGTGGAATGGAAGTATCTGACTTAAGTAACTATGACAAACATGACAAAACTATCATCACGAACATTTAAATCGAAATATCTCTTGCATCTCAACACTTCATTGTCACTAAGAGTCGGTCACGATGGATTTCATTAATTTTCTCAATAGTCTTATGAGGTGTTTACTATCAGTGTACAAAGGCACAGAGAGGCTACATGAATTGCCCAGGGTCACACAGCTAGAAAGGGGTGAAAATGAGTCATGGGCTATTTGGTTCCAGAGTCTGTGATATTACCCGCTACCTTGGACTGCCCTTTAATCATGTGCTGGCTAAATAGGGGTTTCTCTTAACACAAAATACTTTCCTTAAAAGTCCAGCAACTAAGCATTATTATGATAAAAAGTTAAAAAAGAGGGATTTCATTTTGCAGTAATTTAAGATTTACATAAAAATTGCAAAAATAGTAGACTTCCCTTATTTTCATAATTTAGGCAGTGGGTATGGATAGTTCTGGTCCAGCATGTATTCCATGATCATACATTTTTTTTTGTTGTTGTTGTAATATCTCCTTACTCTCCACCAATCTAGTGTACAGCTTTTTAATAATTCTTTAAGCCTTTTTAAGCATAACTTTCCTTTCAAGCATACTGGCTATAATTTTGCAGGATGTCCCTTAATTTGGGTTTGTCTGTCATTTTTCATGTTTACATTGAGGTCATGCATTTTTGGCAAGAACATCACAGATACGATGCTGTGTCCCTGCCAGTGCTTCATAAAAGGAGGCACGTGATGCTGACATAGCTCATTGCCAATATTGCTAGCTTTGATCACTGGCTAAGGTACTGTCTGCTAAATTTCTCCACTGGGAAGTAACTATTTTCCCTTTTTAAAAAATTTATTTATTTATGCATACAAGAACTGGGGTACAGGCCAGAGGTGTGGGGTGGGGGTGAGAGGATTCACCAGAGACAGAGTGGGGAGTAGAACAGGCGGACTGACTGAAATACACTGCTGAGGGGAGCAGCAGGTAAGACAGGAGAGGTCTACTGTGTCATGTGAGTAGTTACCTGGCAGGCCAGGATCAAACTCATGCTGCAGAGGCTGCGGATAGCTTCATAGTGCTGTGCTTAACCCCTTATGCCACCAGCGAGGCCCTTATTTTCCCTTTTATATTAATACTTGGACTATGCAATGAAGTTCTGCTTCACATCACATGTTCCCTTACTACTTTAGCAACCACTTATGATTCTTGCCTGCAATAATTACAGCTGTGGTATTTGCCTAATGATGATTTTCAATTTGCATTATTTCTTCTACATTTATTATTAAGTCCCATTGTCCTTCCAGTAGACAGGAAGGTCTGTCCTCTCTCCCCCATTTATTTATTTCTTCCATTATTTACTTATAGCAGTCATGGATTAATTTTATTCTATCATACTTATATATATAGTCTATTGATCAAATTGTTCATGGAACAATTCCTTTTTGAATGCCTCTGTACTTTTTGGCACCACAAAATATTCATTTTTTTTCTGCTTGGGCCACAAAATTGACCATTTTCTACAAGAATTCTGATTACTTTTATTGAAGAGTAATGAGAATATTTAGAAACCAAGATCTGGATTGTGTGTATGTTGCTACCAGGGTATCCTGCTTCTAGGTCCTCTTGGCAGAGAAAGCTAGGGGATATATGTGTGCATATCCATACATGAATGTATACATCTATATTTCTATTTTATATCCAGCCAAACATATATCAAAAATCATAGGTTGTTACTGATACCTCTGATTTCCATTCAGTGCACGAAAATTCATTCTAACCTCTTCCTTTCCCTGTGGCTGGGGTACAAAGGAAATCATCCTGTACTCCTCTGGGTTCTCTGGGCTGGCAAATAATTAAGAAAGTATAGGCAGATAGAGAAGAGAAAAAAATCCCAAAAGAAGTTTAATAACAACGTGTATGCCTGCTTTACACTAGGGAGAGACCCAGCTTAACTGAGTAACTTGGCCGCATGTCTTCAGACACTATCTTAAATATTTTAGCAACATAGGAGAGGTTGGGTAGAAAGTGGGAAGTTCAGTTGGGGAGTTTACTGGGAAAAGAACAGCAAACAAAAGGTATGCACATATTTAATTCTGCCTTCTCCACTCAAGAAACTAAAGGGAGTTCTTCACAGAGAGAAACTTATGGATAAATAACAAAACAACCTCCTTCTAGTCTTCAGAATCCCTTATGTGGAATAAATAAAACTTCTAATAAAATGACATAACTTGGAGACTTTTGCTCCCCCACACCTATTTGTGAGACACCTGGCTCTCATTATCTAATCTACATCTATAAACCTGTTCCTACCCATATCCATTTATGTGCTCAACTGTAGTGTACACATGGAAACTTTGCTGAATAGCTAATCCATATGCTAATGAAAAACAAATTAACTAATTAGAGTATGATATGTATATGCAGTTATTTTTATTTTTAACCATACAGCATATTGTCAAATTTTTTTTCTCAAACATAGGTTAATTTTTTTCTTTCCCAAACCTTCTTTAGTGTGGCTATGTTATTATATTTTTCTTTTTTCTTTTTCCCTTTTTTTTGTGGGACCCTTGCTGGCGGCCGGGGAATGAACCTAGCGCTCAACCGCTGCGCCACCAGCGGAGGCCCCTGTTATTATATTTTTCATTGTTAATACAATAGGTTCATTTTATTTTGCTCACCTTCACTGCACACCCATTTCCTGGTATTTATGTGTGTATGTATGTGTTTTTACAGTATGCATACATGTCTGTATAAATCTAATCATCTATCTATTGTGGAAAGTTTTCAAGTAGGTATTATGTAATAAACTATGCTCAGAATATAATTGGTCTCTCCTACTACCTCGTTCCCTTTCCTCCACGCCTTCCATTCCATTCCTTTATAGGCGACCAATCTCACTAGTCTCATGGTTTAACTTTCCTTCATTTCTTTTACAAATGAGTATATACACATATTTTCTTACATGGCCTCCTTTTTATGAAAGGAAGTATATTATGAGCACTCCTTTACATTCTGCTTTCTTCACTTAACAATAACTCTTGGAAATCACACCCTATCAGTTGTTATCCACAACATAGGGAAAAAGACCAGTGTAAAGAGGTTGAATAACTTGCCCAAGATTATATACCTAGTAAGGAATAAATCTGGATTTGAACCCAAGGCGTTTTGACTCCAACATTCATGTTCTTATTACATCAGAACTTCTTATCCACAGTTCCTGACATGTTGTTGAGGATCTTTATGTTCTTTGGGTTTTTTTTTAATTTTTATTTTATATATTTTTAACATCATTTTTCATCTTTGCACAATGTATGCATTTTCATCTTGGTTATAGTCCCCGTAAAATTCCCACCCCCCCCATTTTGACCATAATCCCTCCTACCCCCCCAACCCCACGCAGTATGTCTCTAGTTTATAGTTGCTTGTTGATTTTGATTTTTACTTTATTATAATTAGTCTTTTTCCTGGTCCCTTATTTAGGTTTTCTAAATTCCTGCTATGAGTGAGACCATCTGGTATTTTTCTTTTTCTTTCTGGCTTATTTTGCTGAACAGGATCCATTCCAGCTCCATCCATGTTGTTGCAAATTGCATGAGTTTATCTTTTTTGATTGCTGAGTAATATTCCATGGTGTATATGTACCACATCTTCTTGATCCAGTCATCTATTTTTGGGCATTTGGGTTGCTTCCAAAGTTTAGCTATTGTAAACAGTGCTGCAATAAACAGAGGGGTGCAGGTGCCCTTTTGAATTAATGATTTTGTATTCTTTGGGTAAATACCTAGGAGTGGAATTGCTGGATCATATGGAAGCTCAACAAATGTTGGCAAGGATGCAGAGAAAATGGAACTCTTCCTGCACTGCTGGTGGGAGTGCAAACTAGTCCAACTATGGAAAGCTGTGTGGAGATTCCTCAACATGTTCTTTGGGTTTTCTACATTATTTTGGAAATTAATACATGTATGCTTTGAATTATCTAGATGACTGTATCATACAAGTACTGCCAGGCACTTTAATTGTCTGAAGAACATACAAATGATGCAGCTGCCTATTGAATGAATGTTTCAAACAGCAGCACATATGGACCTTTAGGCAACCTCAGGGTACAATTACCTGGCTGTGGCTTTGGCTTGTAGTTCAGGGAAGGCAGCATGGCCCTGCACCACATGGTCTATCTGTAAAACAAAAGAGAGAAGGGTCAACTTTATAGCTTCCCTAATCTATGTTTAAGTCAGAGAATGAATATTAAAATGCCATTTCTTTCAACTGTGTATAGAGGATCCAAGAATGTTAAAATGCTAACTCAGCAAGAGTATCTCACTTTGCCTAACCTAGTGGCAGCCCCTTAGATTTATAAAACAAAGATGTTTAAAGAGAAGAGTAGCAGGAAATAAAACTCAAAAAGCTGAACTGGTAGCAGCAGGTAGTATCAGGTCAAGAATGAGGTCTGAAGGGGTGAGTAAGAAGAAAGGGTAACTCAAGGTAAATGGAGAACCTATGTGTTAAAAGAACTAACCTCTGGATCACATGATTTCTCACTCCTGGTCTAAATTATTATCCCGAGGCAAAGTCTAACCTTGGATTAATCACTGTGTCTTGCTAATGGAAAAGTTGAGTGAAAAAGACTATGGAGGAGGGGAGTCCCAGTTAAAAGAAAAAAAAAAACAAAAAAAACCAGAGTTGCTTCTTAACACTATCAGAAAAAGCTCCCCAACTAAAAAGTTATCACCTGGGCAACTGGGACATAGCCATCCAAGCAGAGATATCTACTCTCTGCAGACAACCATCTTCTCCTTTGAAATCTATAGGATTTATTCCATAATATACTTGGTGGCTCTAAATAAAATAGTACGTAATATACATTAGGAAGAGAGATGTTTCCCCATGCTGCTACTCTGCTTGCTAAAACACAACCCAAACTGCTGGAATCCCTGAACTGCATCTGTGTATTTTCACAGTGTTTACAGGAGTCGCTAGTATTCCAAAATAACCACTGTGAACAATTTATTTTCATTCAAACTATGAACCAACTTGTTATTTTGGCCTCACAGAGACAGCTTCTCTGAGTGTGTTTCCTGAGAGTCAGTGCTATGTAAAGAGAAAGAAGTTTCTTATGGAGCCATAAAAGTTAGGGTTATGTTCAGGCTCTCATGGGAACTAGCTGTGTGACTTTGTGCAAGTCACTTAACAGCTCTGAGCTATTTTAGAGGTGATAAGCCTCCTCTTCAAACAGGATTGCTAGTGCTAGGGAAACAATGGGGAGAAAACTCCAAGCTAGTGGTGGACATGAATGGCAAAAGTAGAGCTTTTAGGAGCCCACCTCCATCTCCACACCACCCAGATCTCAGATGCTGAGCACTCTACCTCTCTGCATGCTGTCCATCTGACATCCTGAACGGGTGCCGCTGGAATTAGGGAACTAGGGGCAGAGCTGTTTGCGCCACGTTGAACTTAAAACGCTGAACATGTGCGTGTCCAGCCTCCTTGGCTTGCTTCTCTCTAAGGGCACCCTGGTGTGTACTCAGCTGATGCCATCTGCAGGTAGAACCCACTGTATCTACTTATATGTGACCTACACATTTTCTTTTTCTTCTCTCTCTCAGCTTTTCTATGTGAATAAACCTTTTTTTTTTTTTTAAATCTTCTCCACTTTTCTCTGCATTTGAGTCCTGTCCTGCAGTCATAAGTGCATGGGTGGAGACTTACCAAAAGGGATCCCCTTCCCCCAGGGTTTGCCCATTTCACTAGGACAAGAAGTGTGCATCTTGATGCCAACAATAGTATAAATATCATGTAACATTTATTGACTCATCATATATCATACTAAACTAAGCATCTAGACACATTTTTAATTTCTTCCTTAAACATTCCTATGAAGATAGTATTCTACACTACAGAGATGAGAAAACTGAGACTAAGAGAAATTAATAATTTGCCCAACGTGACAGAAGAAATAGTGACAAATTTAGTTTTCAAACTGAGGTCTCTCTGTATCTTAAGTCCTTGTTCTTAAGTACTATGCCAGATTGTCTACTAAATTTCCCAATACATGTTATTGAATTCCACTTGGGCAGTTCTACAGAAATGTTTCAAAATAATACCAAAATGATTGGTTATTTCAATGGAAAAAAATATGTAGGGTTTTTACTTCCTACCAGTTTAGCTTTGGATTGCTGTGATGAGGAATAGTCTAGACTTTAAAGAGTCTACAAGCAAGTGGGAGTTTCATGATGAACCTACTGGGATCAGTAATGGATAATTAAAGAAATTACTTCATTTGATGCTAATTTATATGGGATGTGCTTTAAGAGTTCAGAGAAGGTATTAAAATGAGCATTTAAGAGAACGCATAGATCTAACATCTGGGATATATGCTGAATGCAGTTACTCAGTATTTGCTGAGAGCGTAATTCATCAGATACTATTCGTAGGCACTCTGGGTATATAGTGAAAAATACAAAATACAATGCATTTAATTCAGATGAGCATAAGGTAAGAGGTCACTCTTTTAGTAATTATTATACAGTTGGGGGAAGTGAAATTTCAGCTGAGAGGCTAAGAATAGGCAGAGTTTGAAAGAATACAGGGCCAGAAGCAAGACAATAAAGAGGCTATGATAACTACAAAGCTGAAGATGGAACGACATATATGGTTTCGGACCGTAAGGCGATGGGTCTATCCCCCTGCCTGGTAGGTGTATCATGCTCATTTGTTGAATAAATGTGTAGTGCATGACCATAATGGAAGCACACCACATACTCATATAATATCATGTGCTTCTTGAGACACCATATTTTACACACTTAATAACAGACACACTTTGTGTATGTTTTTGCAGAACACTAGTTGATCCTAAATAGGGCAACTGTATGTTATATTAGAAAATAAAATGGTGAAAGTATAAATGAATGAGGTGGGTGGGAAAAGTCAGAATTATTTTGAAGAATTATTTTGATTTGGGCAACAAGATGATGAAAAGTTAAAGAAAATTAGGCTGGTAGTATACGCAGGACAGGGAGATGACTTGGCACAGAAAGCAGGAAATGTAAATAAGGTTCAGAGGCTGACAGTGGGAATAGAAGGTACACATATTCTTGTCCTTGCTCTACTATAATATTTGTCATAATATTTCATAATCATTGGTTTATAGGTCTATCTCTTACTCCACATTCTGAGGTCTTTTAAATCAAGAGTTTCATTATTTTCCAATCCACAGAGCCTACAACAATGCCTGGCATCCTGAAGGGATGAAAGAGAAATTTTGAAGAAAATGAAACAAACTTAGAGATTGACTTCTTAGAGAGTATAAGAAAATCAGTTAGAAAGTATAAGAAAATCAATGATGATTTTGAATTTTGGGGTCAAAAAAAGAAATGCAGCTACATTAATGATGCCTCCTTATTTTCTGTATTTCTCATGCTTTGATATATGGGGTCTTATGATCCTGGACACACTGCTCTTCCCAAGATTAGACAATTCCTGGAGATAGTCAGGGGCTCAATTTCCCTGCCAGCACTCTTTTTGAATGCAAATCAACCAGTCCAGAGCTCAGGTCCCCACCACCTCAGGCATGGGCCTTTGTTTCCAGGCTATAATTACTCCAAGACCCAGTCTCAGACAATAGGGGTGGCCCTGGTGCTTCCTGCGTGGCCTTGTATAGATGCAATATATGCAATACACCCTTTTCTTGATAATTGCAAAAAAACTATTGTTTCAATGGCAGTCATCTCTGGGTTTGTTAGTGCCACAATATCTGAATATAAAAATAGTGGCTTAAATAGTGGAAAAAAATAAGAACTTTGGAAATAGGTAGATTTAGGTTTAAATTAATGGCCTATATTTATATTTATATTTATTTTGGTCTACCTAGGGAAAGTTACACCACCGGTTAGAGCCTCATCTATAATTGTAAAATGAGGGTAATAAAAGTTGCTTTGTAGGGCAGGCTGTGGTGACTGCATGTTAAGATGTGGCTTTCAGAGGAATACATCAAAAGAATAAAAATAGCTGGGAAAACAGGATCTCTTAAATGATCAGATATACTTTTTTATTTTTTCACAAGCATTTGGGTGATAACAGCACACCCTGATTGCAGTGTAGGGAAGAAAAAAATCTGCCACCAAAAAGTACATCTTTTTGGCAAAAGATTAATTTCATGGGTAGGACTCTGAAGACTGGGAGGATATTGTTTTTGAAAAAGACTTACATATAAACTTCTATAAGGACCTACACAGATTAGGAAGACCTAGTCTCCTTCTATCCTTTTCATGGTGAAAGAATAATTTGAAATCTGCATACCTTCTGTTTGTGGTGCCTTCTCCAGTAAATCCTCTAATTGTACTTCTCTCTTCTCCCATCATTCCCAATTTTAGCTATTTAAGCTTCTGAAGTCATGTGGTCTGTCCCATGTATACAGGAGGTATACATGCTATTATTAAACTTCTTATTGGTTTCTTTCTCTTAATCTGTTTGATGCCTGTTTGATTATTTGCCAGCCTAGAAAAACCCTGAGGGTTATGGTTATGGGATGATTACCTTTGTGCCCCCACAACAGAAAAGGAGCCAGTTTTTCCAATAATTGAACATTCATTTCAAAAGCCTGGAATGCCTATTTTAGGGTTGACCTCTCTGCTTATGTTCTATTCTCTAGTGTATTTAGCACAGTATAGAAGAACACAATGTCCTATTAGTGGCTATTTGTTTCCCAATGAAATAAAAGTTTTACCACAATCAAGTGTATGTGCCAAATGGTTGCCTTAGAAATATTTACACAGAGTTAGTCTAACTATATAACTATTTTCCTATTTCCTTTATCTTCTCAGATTTCAGCTCTGAAAGCTGGCAGCCATAATTCAGCATAAAAGTTTACAAAGTGTTTGGATAAGTAGGAAGATTCGTTTGGGTGGAATCAGATTTTTAGGATGGGTTTAAGGCCTATAACAAGGAGGAAAGGCCATTTTAAAAAATGAGAGATTATAAGACTACTGCACAGACAAGAGAGATCCAGTTGGATTGAGAGGTAATGGTGGTTTGGTCACTGGTGCTGGGAATGAAGGTAAAGAAAAGTAGAAGCTTTGGTGATCTACATTTTGGCATTAGAATCAATGGACTTTATGACGGACTGGATGTAAGCAAAGAGAAGAGAGGAGGAGTCAAGAACTAATCCTTATTTTCT